TATTTTAATAATTTCAGTATCAATATATATTTAATATATAATTTGAATTGAAAAACAGTTTTTTGTTTTTTATTTTAATTATTAAGCTTTCTTTATCTTCCTTATTGACAAAGAGGTTAGGTTTAAGGTAAAGAGGAAACTTAAAACATTTTGATACTTAAAATATCTTAAAATATTTTTAATGAATTAAGAAACAAAAAAATTTATTAATAATATTTAAAGAAATCTTAATTTTCACTTCTTTTTATAGGTTTAATTAATTTTTTTATCTTTATTATTTAAAGACACGTGCAATCACAATTAAAACAAAGCTAAGACAGCATAAGATGAGCAGAAACTTAAGTTGGAGACCCAATCTAAGGCATACAAGAAGGCCAACCCACGAAGCATATAGTTGTGCCAAACAAACCAAACCAGAAACTTTAGAATTCTCTCTCTCTCTCTCTCTCTCTCTCTCTCTCTTTAAGTCCGAAAACCAGAAACTCTTGAAAAAATGTGACCCAAAAATTTTTTTTAAAAAAAAATATTAAAATGCAGCAAATAACAGATCACTAACAGATATCCGAATCGCACAAATAAGTCAGAACATTTAAAAAATTGAAAAAAAAAAAACGCATAGGGACAGAGTCATGGGGCCAGTTGTCTCTGGGTAGTGGGTAAACCATTTTGGGTGGTCCGGGAAGCAAAAGCCACTAGATATTCGCCCTATGCTCTCTGATATTAGAGCTATACCTAGAGGAGAATAGCGGAAATCAGCTAGATGATCACCGGAAAATCGCCGAGAAGGCACCGGAACTAGTCCGCAACTCTCCCGAAGCTCTCTCTCTCTGCTGCTGCTTTTCTTTTCTTTTTCTCTTTTCCCTCTTTTTTTCGGCTTTCCTCCCAAACGGCCGCTTAGAAATTCTCTCCCCACGATCAGAAGACATCCCTATTTATACCCAAAAGAAAAGAAAACCCTAGGATTTTTCCACCTGTTTTCATCCTCACCGTTCCTTTCCATCCTAATCTCCACCATTGATCGAACGGGTCAAAATTTGCCCCCTGCTTTCTCCGACAGTAACCGCCTTAAATAAGGAAAGTGCGATTCAGTCTTGATAAATTTTCCCAAAGAAAATATAAGAGAAAATTTAGTAGAAATTAAAAGAATGATTTTTTTATATATTTCTTAGTGTAATGTGTTTAAAATCAGAAAATTACAGATGACTTTTTAAGAGGATTTCAAAGAATAGTAGATAATTAAGACATAACAATTTCTGAACAATTCTCAAATAAATAACACATCCTTTAGGGAAGTTTTTGATGAGCTAGTGGTTACTCATGCCTTAATAAGAGTGATTTTATGCACGTAGAAAGTGTAAGCTGAGTTTTACCTTCGTGTTAAAGAAAAAAATATTATTTATTTATTAGTATGATTTTTTAATTTATATTTTAAAGATATATGGTTAAAAATTTTAAAAAAATAAAAAAAAATATATTTAATTTATTAATTATTTAATTAAATTTATTTATGTGACATTAATTTTAGAATGAATATGTTTTTACATTTTTATATAAATTTATCATAAAAAAATATTTTTAATTTATATTTTAAAAATATAAATTAAAAATATCCTTATTAATAACCTACATTAAAATGACAACAACCACACAAATAAAACGACAAGATTTGTTAAAGACTTTAATTCCATGGGGTTGCTAAGTCAGCATCAATTCTCACGTCAGCTCAAGATTCTCCCACATATCAGCATGGCGCCACTTGTGCAAAACAGCTCCATAAACCTTTTGGGGTTATCTATTGTAGTCCGAGAGTTGTTGATACAATTATTAACTGGACAGATGGTTGTTCAGGCAATTATTAAGGGCAAAATAGTACTATAAATTTTTTTTTAACAATAATTTTTACCTCTTTAAAAGCAACGTTATCGCTAAGTTATAATACTCACTCATGGAATTTCATTCACCAATGTTAGTAGACTAATGCTTAAAAGCAAAGTCTCGAAACTGAAAAAAAAAAAAAAAGACAACAAAAAAACTAAATCCAGTAAAGAAAACGCTCCTGTTTATGGAGTCGTTTTGTACACCAATCCAGAACAAGAGTAACTCTTTTAAGGATTCTAAATTTTCGAGCCTGGTGTTTATACAACAAGCTTTAAAACATCTTGCAACTGTTTTGTTTATTTTAAATTCAAAGTTGAATTTTAAAGATATTTTCAAACAATTGGTAAAATAGTTTCTATACTGTTTTCAACTATTTAAAAAAAAAAACTGTTTTTAGCTATTCCTTTTTTATCTTGTACTTTTGTTTTTTATTTTTTTATATTGATTACACAATGAAAAATAATCTTTTTTTATTTTTTATCTCACTCACATGTCATGCAATTCAAATTTAGTATTTTTTATTTCTAACAAAAGAAGATTATCACTGAATTATTTAGGTCGTTAACCATACTTTTGTTTTTAAATAATGATAACTATTCACTTTAATTTAACATAATATATAATATTTTTATATAAAATTAAAAATAAATAAATTTTAAAAAAAATTAGTATTTATTCGTCTTACCTTT